AAATGTCATAGATGATGATGTTGATATGGATTCACTCTCTGGTCGGATTCGATTACTTAAATCTTCATATCCTTCAAACATAATATCAAAATGTTCTATTGCGAGCTTCATCAATATGCCCACTCCACCACCGTTAATATCATCGTTAACTTTCAAAACACACATACTAACATCTAATACTGGATTGCCACTATGTACTAAGTTCGGTGCAAACATTACCGCAAGATTATGTGGCGTCATTAAGTTTTCGTTTTTGTGCTTTGAAATATCAACAAGAAGCGCGCAAACATATCTTAGAACAAGGATTACCACGGGAGATAATAGTGGAAAAACACTACTACGAATAAATTCAATTCTTCCCAAATAATTTGGCTTATGTAATATTTGTTTAAGGGTATCGTATGTTTCCACAGGAAAAACTGGCACTGGCAGAGCATTAAAGAACATTTTAAGAAGAACTGCTGCCACATGAACACCATAATCTTTTAAATTTACAGGATTTCCTATTTTAATCGAGAATCATTGAAACCAATATTAAAAAAATATATTGATTAAATTAGAATATTCACTATAAATTTAAGTGTTACAAACCTCGATCATAGGCTTCCTTTGCTTGCCGTAATAATACGGAACTAGGTGATCTACGAAACACACCTTCAGTTTCCATCCCTAATTCAATTCACATTTAATGATAAATTAAGGTGATAAATTAAAATTTAAAGTTTAGAATTGCTATCATAATAGAACGATTTATACCTTCGGATCTTATATACGCGACACAATCTTTAACAACTCTTGGTAATCCATTTTCTCCTTCAGTGCCCATGAGTCTTTCAATAGGGACCCCAAACATCAAATGTCCATCTTCATCATAATTGTATAAATTTGGTAATGTAATCTTATCTTCGAATTTTAAATTGTATCTAATGCATTAAATGTAAATCATTAATTAAATCTAAAATATTGTGAAATGATTAGAACTAATGTGATATCATACTCGTAAACAGCAGGAGGTATGTCAATCTGCGTAATAGGAACATATTTAGCTAGTTCGGACAATGTAAGAACGTATTTAACTTTTTTTGCAAATTTTGGACTAGACAATTTAATATAAATGTAATATAAATGTAATATAAATGTAATATAAATGTTTAATTATTATATTATCGCTGAAATTACCAAGAACCGAACGACAATTGTAATCTTTTTTTTTTTCAATATTAAAAATACCTTATCACAACATTCATAAAATCAAGATATAAACGAGCCCAAGTAGATGGTTGGATTATATATAAAGATTTTAAATTTTTCTTATATCTTTAAAGAACAATTAACTTGTTAGTAATATTTTGTAATCTTTTAGAAATTTTAATTCAAGAAAATCATATTCACTTTCTACTCAGGCTTTTATATGCTCGAAATATCCAGGCCCAACCAGGATTATATTTGGCACCTCCGGCGAAGAGCACAACAGTATAATCACTTTCAACAAAAATATCTAGTTTCTGTAGTATTCGGCTTAATTTGATAAAAAGTTGACAATGATACGTTAAAATCAAGAAACAATTGGTATCCAACATATAGGAAACAAGAGCTTTTTGTTCTTACGATAAAATTCTATCATAATTGACATCTGCAGGATTTGGCAGGTTGCAGGCGCAAATCACCACCATTGGCTTGCTTTCAAAATCTACACCTGTACAAAACGAATATCAAATCCCGTAGTACAAATATCAAAAAGAATGGAACAAAAAAAATTTTTTAAGTCGATCGAATATTATTTACCTGCTTGATAAATAACCTTAGAGTATACATATTCTGCCAGGGCTTCCTCATCGGCGGAAGTCCTTAAGACTGGGGGTTCTGAGTTAGGTTTAAAAGACCAACGTTTCCACATATTTTTTCACTATAACCAGACAAAGCTGATTTCCAACTTTCAATATTTGCTTTGTCAAAGAAAATACTAACAGTTTCGTAAAAATAACATAAAGGAGAAACTAAAAAGTCCTGTCAATTATATTAAAAAACCTGCGCGTGATCAAAGTAAAGATCGACAAAAATAGTAACAGTTGTTTATTTTTAAATTACATTATGTAATAGAAAAGAATCGCAGTTACGCGAATTTTGCGGTTGAAAAGATAAAAATAAAAAATAATAAAAATACTTAATTAATAAACTTATTTAATAAATTTCATGAACTTTCTTTACGTGTATAGGGTTACATGTTTTAAGTAATAAATTAATTATGAACATGTGAATGAATTGTTAGTTTTCGCTTATTTTTGATCAAGCCAAATTTTACTTGCACATGTGCAATGCTGACCATCATTAACACTAGGGACTCAATTAACCCTTATTTTCACATTATTATAATTCTGCAAATACATTAAGTCATTTGTGGTCATATGAGTCTGAATAGATTAAATAAAGTAACACTAACAAAAACAAATTCAATACATAGAATTAATAAATTCAATAGAATTAATTGATGTCGATATATTGTTTTTAGCGTTATGACATATCAGTATCAGGGGAGATCCACAAACCCGGATAATTTTAATTTTTTTTTAAAGATAATACTATAATTCAATTCTCGGTTTTCATAAAATTAAAATTCTAAAACAGACCATAAACCCGCTTTTTTTTTTTTAATATATAAATTTTATTCCAGTTATTAAATGGATGATATAAAAACCACAAAATTATTTTGTACAGCATAAACAAAAACGCTAAAAAAAAAAAATTTATATCTGCAATACCAGTCATGATAGAGCTATTAAATACCAAAAGTTAAACAAAATTAACAAAATAACTTTATAGTTATAGCTTTTAAATATAATTTTTAATATAGTATAATGCAATTAAAGTAATCTATATAGTATTGTAATATAGTCGAATTTTTTATATATATTTTTCTTACTGTATATTTTCTTATGCAGTATTCTTCCTATATATTTTTATATTTTTATTAATATTTTTATATAATTTATCCCTTAGATTGTAGACCAACGCAGACAAATTTGCCTGTGTTGGTACTATAAATATGCTACTGATCTATTTTTTTAACAATTTAGAATATTCAAATGAA